CCAAGCAAAAGCAGCATTTAACAGCTTTTATATCAATATTAGAAATCAAGCCATTTCATCAGACTTGCAGGTCAATTTTGAATGACATGGTAGAGCATATTTTGTTGTACAGATACTAGATTTAGGGGTTCTAAAAATTGTCGTAGTGAGATCTACAACACTTATTATATGTTTTATGTGGAATTTGTTAGATTTCCCTTAGAAATGACAGTTAGAATTAGAATGGCATCATTCTGGTTAAGTATATCACATGGTGAGAAATTAGCCTCATATATCTTGTAACATGAACAAAACCGAAATGTAGTATTCAATATGTAGGGCAAACTGGACGTCAATTTTTCAAACGAACACAAGAACATCTATACCGCTTCCGCATACCTAAGAAATTCAAAAGTTGAATTTACCAACATTTAGAAAAACTCAAACACAATATTAAATTTATAAAATTCATACCACTTCAAACCGTCCAGAAACAACTAGGACAATCACATTAACAGTTTGAAGATTCCTGATAACTTTGCGAAGTGTCTTGGATTAAACGACTACAGACAGCGTACCCCTAGGTCTAAATGACAATATCATGGGCCAAGGGAACATATCTAAAACTTCCTCTATTGCTATCATGACTATTGTTGATTAAAGACAACGCAACCATAGGTGTCATGGCAAACGCATTAACCGCAATCAACGAAATAAACATCGTTCTAATCTTACACTTGATGATTCTTTATCTATATTTAAAAACAATGGTAGACATCAATTATTATGTAAACAGGGTCACATACCAATTAGTAAATTACAAAATATTTATAACGAGTGTGATATAGTATTGTTTTCAGTATAAAATATGGGTGTACATGAATTATAACAGCCTTTTGTCACCATAAACTGTTCCCTCAAATTGACAAACTTGACGATCATAAAAAGTATTTCATAAAAATAAAATACATTAATAGAGGTATTGATTTTATTAATTTGTCTAGTATTTTTCATGGCTCTACCGTTCAAAACTGTATACCTCCATATTTTGATAACATAGAGCCACCTATAATTTCTTATTCGTATAAAAAACCCAGTAGAAGTTTAACTTTTAATTATACGTCAGTTACATCAGACGTCAGTATAGAAAATAATGCTCCTTCGACATGAGACTGTGAAAGATCAAAGTTTAGATATGATTCCTATGGACATGTAATTACAGGGGACCTCAATATCGTCCAAGACCGAGAGGTTATAAACTTTCTAAAAAAAGGACCAAAATATCGTCCACCGTCGAAAATAAATTTGGAAGAGTGTCGTCAGGTTATTAAAGATGCTCTTTCGTCCTATTCTAAAAAATGGTCTGAACGGGAGAAATCGGACAAAAAGTCACTATTTGAATAAATGTTTCAATATTGTTGATATTCGCATACATGTATCACATTTCGAAAATAATTTAGAAATAAATAAAAGAATAAGTAATACGCCCATTTCTAGGATAAAAATTAAAATTCAAGTACTCGCAAAGCGTTTTGTGTTCGTTCTGGCCGACAAAGCAGCCAACAATGTGGTAGTGGTATGACGTAAATACTACACGGAAGTCCTTAAGAATGAAATTATACATTCAACTACATTCAAGGCCGTACGCTCCACAGAGAGTCGTATAGTAAATAATCATGTCACAACCACAGCTCAGCTTAAGGCCTCTTCTGAATATTTGACGGTCCCCACTATGTATTGGTTACCTAAACTACACAAAAAAAACCGTAAAATAACGTTTCATCTCGGCTTCTAGTAAGTGTTCTACTACTAGAATTTCAATGCTTTTAACGAAATCCTCAACTACTATCAAAGAACATCATTATTTTTGTAATAAAACATATGAAAATAGTGCAATTAACAATTTTTTGAGTGTAAAAAATTCTTTGTATGTTTTAGATAAATTATGTGCATGTGATGGTCCTTTTGATTTGGTTGACAGTTTTGACTTTTCAGCTCTTTACACTACACTTCCACATAATCTTATCAGAGAAAAGTTTTCCTATTTAATTAAATTGTCGTTCGATAAATCTAATTGCAAATTTATTTGCTGCAACTCATATAAAGCCTTTTTCTCAAACGAGAAAAGTAAATATGCTAGATATACTTACTGGAGGTGTGATGAGTTGATTACAGCCATAAATTTTCGCCTTGACAACATTTATGTACGTTTCGGCAATAAAGTTTATCGACAGATTGTAGGTATTCCTATGGGCACCGATTGTGCCCCTTTAATAGCAGACGTGTTCCTGTACTGTTATGAATCACAGTTTATGGCCAAACTCAGTAAAGACCCGTCTAAATTCCATTTAATTGATAAATTCACCAACACTTACCGTTTTTTTTGTGATATATTTTCGTTAAATAATCAAGAATTCTCTAAATATACTGCCAAAATTTACCCACAGCAACTTACTTTAAATAAATCAAATATTAACAGCAACAAGTGTCCTTTCCTAGATTTAGACATTTCAGTTTTTCACCAGAAACTCTACTAAAAAATTTACGACAAAAGGGGTGATTTTTCTTTTCCTATTGTTAATTTTCCTTTTTTGGACGGTGATGTTCCTCTGGCACCATCTTACGGTGTTGATATATCCCAACTCGTTCGTTATGCCCGTGTCTATAGTGACGTTTTGGATGTCAATGAGCGTAATCTATGTATAACTGGCAAATTATTGAGTCAGGGATTTCGTTACGACAAATTACTTAAACCCTTTTCTTAATTCTAAATTCTTGACGTTGTGTACCGAGCCCGGATATTTATATACGATCCGGGTAAACTTATCAATCCTTTAAAAAAACTTACTCTAAAAGGTTACCAACTCAAAACTGTAATTAGATCTTTGAATATTGTTTTACACATATGCACTTCAACGGTACTCCAATCTGTCGATCGTTTGACATTTTGGCATTGCACAAGGTCATGTTTTTTTCTGACTGTTAATGACGTCTTTACACAAAATCCATTGAATGTTGGATGTGAACTGATTGATATTTTAGTCTTAAATACATGATTTTTTTATTAGTTGTTGTTGGCTTTGAACTAGCTGTCAGTAACTGCGAGTACTCTCAGATCTGTACCTTGTGTCCTTTTTGTTGTAAGGGATGAGGGATGGATAAATACCCTGCCACGTCCGGTCTGTGCTTATGTTTGATGTTTTTCTGCTTTGTATCGATCTGATGAGTTAAGCCTTTTTCAACTGATTTTTATAGTTTGTTGTTATGTTGTGCTGTTCCACCACTGTCCCAGGTTAGGGGAATGTTGAGCGCCCACAAACATGTTTAACCCCGCAACATTCTTGTGCCTGTCCCAAGCCTGTAGTTCAGTGGTTATCGTTGGTTCAGGTCTGTCATATTTGTTTTTCATTGATTGTTTTGTTATAAATAAGGCGGTTAGTTTTCTCAGTTGAATTGTTTCATATTTTTCATGTCGGGGCCTTTTATAGCCGACTATACGTTATGGGTTTTTCTCGTTGTTGAAGGCCGTACGGTTGCCTATAATTGCTTATATCCTCTTTATTTGAACCTTGGTGGATAGTTGTCTCATTGGCAATCATACCTCATCTCCTTTTTTTTTATATGTGTATAAGTTAAAACTTGGTTTAAAGCAAAGCAATGTTAAATTCTTCAAATGGTTGATTTTATAGAATCAATATCAATGTGTTTGGCAGTCACGATGATTCTGATTATAAACTTCTTGTTAACAGGTTTTATTAGACCAGTATATTCCAACATGTTAAAATGACATCAAGTTGTACCATTATCTTCTCGAAGAATATTTTTGACCAAAATTAAATTAAAAAAAAATTGTTTTTAAAATCATTTAAAAAAGATTTCAGATAACACAAGAATCTGGATACCATAATGTAGGAATTTTAACCTGAAGATTCCTATTGAAACTCGGCAAAGGCATAATATTCCTGCGGAGGAACAAAGATGTAATTTATGCAACGAAAATATCGGAGACGAATTTCACTATCTATTTATTTGTAAGTCCCAACTTGTAAATATTAGAGAACACGGGATACCTATATAGCTAGTTATAATAGTATCCAAGTAAACAAGTGAGCAGGCCCGTTATCTTATTGCAAAGGTAATTTAAATAGAAAGGTGTCATCTTTTATTTAAAACTAATAACTAATGGTGATATACTTTATTGTGCACCATTTTGTAGTTATTTTATATTTGATAATATCTCATGTTTATTATTGAATATTTACCTCATGTTACACATATAACATTGAGGGTACCCAAATTGCACCTATTGTAACAGTTTATCAGCTACGTTTATTTATGATCCAGACAAAAGTTTCCATCCTGTGTTTATTTGGTAGATTTATCCTTATTTACTATATAGTTCAACCAATTTCTTTTTGAATCCATGTTGAATCATAGAAAAATGGGTTTGAACCGACTTCCAAACGATCCATGATTCTATTATAAAGAGTACCCAAATTGCATCCATGCTTAAATTCACATCCGTAAAAATCGAATAACAGATTTTTTGTTTTATTTCTACAAATATTTAGAACAATTTTACAAAAGTCGATGCTTACTATTCATTTTTTAAGAAATGGATGCTTGTAACATATTGTATTTGCTTATTTTAAAAAGTTAACTTTTTGTGAACTTCGCATGGCGACGTTTCCGTAGATTTAATATTTTCCAGTGAATAATTCATCTGTTGATATATACTGTGAATGTTTTGTGTATATTTAGATATATTTAGTTATGTTGAAAGACGTGCAAAATGTCAAATCATAAAAATACAAATTTGTTAGTCTCTAAGAAAACGTGTACGATTTCCGCTGCTATTTCTGCTAAATGGGTTCAATTTGGGTATTGTGACGTTATGTGCCTGAGCATTGCTTAATAAAAAAATCTTATTTTTTGTAGTGGAAATTGGGTAATTTAGTTTTTAATGATAAAAAAATCATGAGATAATTGCAGTTTAGTGTCGTTAAAAAAGTACAAAGTTTTCAGGAAAATCTTTCTGCATTAGGATAACTATGAAAATTGATGAATATATATAATATGCTTTTACAAATTGATTCCTTGTGTCATAAGATGCTGTAGAAAATTTTACCCCATTAAACATTGACCCCCTATTTCTTCTTTTATATGTATGTTCATCTAGTACCATTCTATATTTTCAATGCAAATAGGGGAGAACACAAAACTTCAATTTCAGATGGTCAAAATACAAAATATATGCCTCGTTACCAGAAGAACAAGTATCTGAATCCCACAGAAAATTAGGTATCCCGGTCTGATTAAATTCCAGTTCCATGCAGCCATCAAAGGTTTTCAGCAATCCAAATTCTGAAATAAAAGTTAGAAATTAAAATAAAATGTCGAGAAGGACACTTTTTTCATATTGACACACACACACACACACACTCACCAACACACACACACACACACACACACTCACCAACACACACACACACACACAAACATATATATATATATATATATATATATATATATATATATATATATATACATATGAACACTCACACACACATATATATATATTTATATATATATATGTAGGACTGAACCGCGATGGTACTCCGAACCGCAATGGTCACGCTGAGGTGCGATGGTTTGACGCTGAAGTAAGCGTTTTATTATTCTGAAGTGAGCTTTTGATTGCGCTGAAGTGCGATGGTGGCATTGTGGCGCTATCTTGTTTATAGCTACGCCGAAGTGCGATGGTCTACACATACTACATTTTCAATTCTTTTCATGTCGATGTAGAAGTCAATTTGTATGTTAGAAGCTGTTTTCCATGTTTGTAAGTTGATAAGGGGCTTATTAACTTTGAATACTACGAGACACGTGGAGGATTGGTGGATAGAGGAAAGTTATCCTTCTGTAGCGATTTTTTTTTCCGAAATCTTCAAAAGGTTCCTTTTTACGTACGATCGAGCATGACATTCTCTAAATACATGCAGGTTCACAGACAGACTTTCTGTATTATAATGTTACGGTAAACGAGGAACTCATGAGGATAAAATGTTAATGCAGAATTATGTCCACATCTAGAAAATCAAAAAGGACGATCTCTCATTAAGTATGCAACTGTTATTAAAGACAGAAATAGACAATAATGAATGAAAATTTATATACTAATTATTAAAAATGTCTACATATACTTTTCATAATACTCGTAATTGCACTTCTATAGATTTTAAACTAGCCATCATGTGCAAATAAACCAACACACATCAGCGAACGGACCATCTCACTTCGGCGTAGACCATTGCACTTCAGCATGACCATCGCACTTCAGCGTCCCCATCGTACCTCCGAGTCCTACATATATACATATGAACACTCATTTTTCTTTTTATATATTTTCTTGTGTATATATTCAAAATTGAATCGATAATGTCATGTATTTAGATCTGAAATTTTACAAACAAGTTTTCAGATTCAGTACATTACAAGACGGTCATATCAAGAGTGCACGAGAAGATATGTTATGTTGAGGATTGATAGCTCACAAAATAGTTTACTTCCGTCACATTCTTTATGTACCTGTCCCAAATCATTGATTAGATTTTCCTTAAATTATCTTTTAGATAGTTCTACACCTAAAATATGACGATGCAAATATTTGAGGAGGACCAAATCTCTCAATTCCAACGGTTATATCAGCAAAGTATGTTTAAAATAAAATATGTCCAAATACTTACCAACCAGTTAATATCAATATCATCAATATCAAAATCTTTGACTTATCAATTATTTTTCCATCAAATGTTTGAACTAACAGTATAGTTAGTTTAATTCATTATATAATATTTATTTAAATGGCAAATATACATACGTTCTCCAAATGCAAGGTTGTCCCAATCAAATGTGTCATTGGTTACTGAATACACATATGTATCACTGTCAACTAGATTGTTTGCTCCAACATATATGTCAAAGCCATGTTCAACTACATAAGAAAATCAGAATGGCAACATATAATCGTTTATAAAATGGAGACATCCACATATCTATCATTAACTTTGCATATTTAACTTTATTACGAAATATGAATTACTAAATATTTGTTAATAGAATTAGAAACAGACACTTTTAATAAAAATCGATTCAGACAGTTTTATGATACCACATTAATAAAAAATAATAGATCATTTCTATATAAGATTGAAAAGAACATATTTGAAAACAGTAGGTTAACATCTTAATCTACATAACTTTTTGTTTGTTTATTTATTTGATTTGTTGTTGTCAAATTTGTGTTTAGTTCATGATAAATTTGATGATTATTATTAATCAAAACATGAAAAAAATGAATTTCATTATAAAATAAAAATTTTAATTACAAATAAATGTTATCTGTCCTGTAGCTTTACCTCATTACTGGTTGAATAAAATGATACATTTTATTAATGAGAACAGAGTGTAATAAGGTCTGTTTTTTTTTATTTGTTTTTTCATTGGGAGAAACATGAGACCGTTTTTGTCCCCGAAATAATAAAAAAAAGTAAATACAAATTTATCTATTAAGACGTTTACAACACAATGCAGGGTAACTTTTTTTCATAATGTTTTATGTATTTGGTATTCTTTTGTTTTATCTTGAGGGATTCAAATGAATAATAAGTGTTCGCTATGTTGCACACATCAAAAATGCATGTGAAAGAAATATTGGAAATGATTAACCAATGTTAAATTTGTCTCTAATTGCTTCAGCCTCTTCTATTGTTTCTGGAATCCACAGGTAGGCACCAGGAGTACTAATGCATCTCGCCTGCAAAAATGAGATCGGCACAATTAAAATCAACAGGATAATTCTGTTTTCCAGCAAATGCAAAACCTTAACAAAGGCCTGTACATTTAAGGACGTCAAGTACATTTATCAAAATTATATTCACGGTAAGTGTTTTATCATACAAACGGTACATCCGTATTACAAATCCCTACAGTATATTGTCATTGTATTAGTTATAAGATGATAATCACAGGTACTATTGTAATATTCTTGTGAAAACTACATTCTCCGGCATACAGTTTTTATCGCAACAAACTCTAATGTGTGTTACAGCTTTTTCTTACAATGCATCTCTTGCTCACACATTGTTGTTAATATAATGGAATTATATGCGACTATCATACAAGTGAGAGGTTTAGCTAGCTTTAAATTCAGGTTTAATCCACAGTTTCCTAAACAAGGAAAAGTCAGGAATATGACAGTTGTTTTCCCTTTTTCGTTTGACGTGATTGAGCTTTTGATTTTACCATTTGATAAGGGACTTTCCGTTTTGAATTTTCCTTGGAGTTCGGTATTTTCGTTATTTTAATTTTTGGTCTCTGTTCATTGTTACAAACATTGTTTGAATAATATCTTTATGAAACATCCACTGTTGTTACTGCAATAAATTTCAAAAACCGAACTAATACTGAATTACTGTAAATCAAATGTATGAATTTAAAAAAAAAATTGCATATAATAACATTAACGATACTTATTTTTCTGTACCAGATGCGCGTTTCGAAAATAAATGTCTCTTAATTGAAGCTCAAGGCCAAAACATTTATAAATCCAAAGCTTATTAAAAAAATGAGCTTGTCAACCAAAACGTCAAACAAGTATAGTCAAAGTCGGGCACGGAATCAGAGCGTTGCATGACGGAGATATATTCCTTAATTTAAAGTAATGTAATATTACCAATAAGATCATGTTTGAAAATAATGAACATAACTTCACAGTTACAAAAAAAAGCAAATTATGTGGATACATTTCAATGATGTTAACTTTTTAATGACTCGTTAAGACTCCAAATCAAACCAAGAACTTTAAATATTGTCACTTTTATTTCTCAAAATAGAAAAAAAAAAACGATCGATACAAAATTCCGAAAAACCACCTGAAGTAATAATGACTATTAAGCTGTTTGTTAAACAACCATTTTTGATTTTCTTAAAGAGTAACCCCAAATGTCTTGAAACATGGCCAAATACGCAAAAAAGAAAACAAAATTTCGTAAATAATTGCTACTAAAGAAACATTTAAGCGATTACCCCTCCATCCTTTGGGCATAATATTTGACTACCCCAACTCGCATGGCCATCTAAATTTACTATCATTATTGGAATCGGGTTAAACACAAACAATACTCTATAAATATACAAAGCCACCTGGATGTAATTAATAGTTGTTGTCAGTCAGAATATGGTACCCATTAATGATTCTTGTGAAGCATTTTTTCTTACTTTGTCAAAGTAATGCACAGTAGAAAAGTTAGAAACAGACTCCTTTAAACATTACGCTTCCATTGCTATACATATGCATTAATTATAGGTATTTTTTTAGACTTTTTTTTAATATGCATTTTCTGTGCATTTGTGCAGCAAATTACATTCGTTTATATCTGGTTTATAAAACCATAAAGAGAGTCAGTTTGAATACTAAAGTGATCCTCTGTTACTAGGATGTTATTTGACAAACTCACAAGTGCAGCATACCACGTTGGTCTATCCGATGTATTATTCCCTTCGAATAGGTAACAATTTGGGCTTATACTTTGATTAGTTAGTTTTGAGTATCCCACTGGACATGTCGTTGGAAGAGTTTTGCAAGGTGCTATAAAACAAAATGAACCATTAATTTATTTTTGATACAATTTCTGATTATCATTTTTACAAAAAGTGTACTACAGCTAGTTAGATTCTTCTTTCTTGTGAATTGGGACACACTTCATAACGAATCTAGTAAGTCTTCTTTCATTGAATTATGTTCTGAGTCATTATTCAGACATGTTTTAAAGTCAATATGTGTATTATACATGAGATATGAGGTATGGATATACAATTCAAAGTTTTATTGAGACTCTCCACTTCACTAGTTAAACAACCTTCTAAGTAGATAAAGGAAGATGTGGTAATAGTGCCAATGATACAACTCTCCATCCAAGTTACAATTTATAAAAGTAAACCATTAAAGGTCAAGGTACGGACTTCAACACGGAGCATTGGCTCACACCGAACAGCAAGCTATAAAGGGCCCCATGAAATTGTTTATTTTACCTTTTTGTTATCTACATGGAAATACTGAGATGTGATATGATTGCCAATTTGACAACTATCCACCAGTGACTAAAAGATGTGGATGTAGCAGCTAATAGTCATTGTACGGTCAATGAGCAAAACACATACCGTTATATAAGCTACAAAAGACCTTGACATGACAAAATGGAAAACAAATCTAACGAAAAAAACAAAGGAATAATTTATCATACACAAAAAAACTGACAGCAATCAACTACAATCACTGAATTACAGGCGCCAGACTTGGGATGGGCACCTACCGAATGTGACAGGGTTTAACCTATTTGTTAACGATCACTCCCCACCCCTTTTTTTAATGGGTGGTTCGTGTAACAGCAGAAGAACAAACGGTAAAAATCAGTTTGAAAGGGATTAACTCATCAGATCGGCACGAAGTAAAACAAAACGAACTGACAAAAAGACTAAAAGACATCAATTTCCGATCTAAGAGTACTAGCAGTTACTGAAAGTTTATTCAACGCCAATTAAACCTAAAATAAATCATGTTTCCCAGACTTAAATATCAAACAGTTGACATTAAATCCTTAATGTAAGGACGTCATAAACAGTCTGAGATAAGTACGACCTTGTGCAATGTCAAAATATAAGTATTGACAGGATGTAGACCTAGGACAATAAAGTTCATAACGGTATAGTAATACATTTAAGTCATGTTATTTTCCTCGCCTGTGACCTCACTGAATAAGACTGGTCACCTAGTTTGTACTGGAATAAGCTACACAAAGGGTGTTATATGTTGAACAGGAACTGCTTACCCTACGGAGAAACTGATTTTCAACTCCGGTTTTTTATGTGGTTCGTGTTTCTCAACATTTTTGTTTTCTATGTAGTATTGTGCGGATTTGTAAGTCTTTTCGTCGTTTTTCGTTTTTTTGCTAAGGCGTTGTAATTTTTTTTTTTTTTTTTTTCGATTTGTGAGGGTTGAATGTCCCCTTGTTATCTTCCGCCTGTTTGTTCTAATTAATTAATTACACAATCAATAATATTACAAATAAAGACAATATTCGAGGATCTTACTACATTATTGAATTATGAAAACCTTTCAAAATAAGTTTATTTAAAGGACCAATACGTTTAAATGGATTGTATGGCTCTATACACAACATCACTGTAAAAAATAGGATGTGATGTCCCATTTGTAACCAAACTTCCAAAACAAATATTCGTATATGAAAGAATTACCTGAAGGTTTTAACTAATTTGTGGTGAAAATACCAAAATAGTCGTGTTTATTAAAGTTATTTCTGTAGCTCAACATGTAAAACAAAGGTACTTATTAATGATAAAGCACATACTCTATTGGAAACATACCTTCACACTTCTTTGGTGGATCGCCTTTGCTTTTGCAATTTTCGTGATTGTGTCCTTTGGCCTTGGTTTTGTAGTGACCATTGTCTTGGTGTTTGCCTATAAATAATTTTAGAAAAAAACAAATAACCCAACGGGATTAAAAGTGATTTCCTGCTTAACAAATTGGTTAATTCTTTACGTAAAGCTTACTCAGGATCAACATGACGCTACCCGTGAGTTTTTTGTTCTTGAAGATAACTTACAGGTGTTAAAATGTAAGGTGAAACATTGCAGTACGGGACTGAAAGAGTGCCAAAATCTATTTTTGTCAAATCATTTCCAAAATTGCTGTTGAGGGTATTTGTCAACCAACACAATAACGGATTATGTATCAAGTTTGTTTTTAAAAAATTGTAACATTTTGTATCATTATACTATACTATAGTAACCGCTAATAAAATAATTAAGATATTAATGTATTTTGTTATTCATTCAAGGAGAATAAGCCCTTTTTCCTACGGCAGATTGCGCGTAGGCACAATAACTGTTTGGGAATATGCCCGTAGGAAACATAACTGTTCAGGAATATGCGCGTAGGCAAAATAACTGTTCGGGAATATGCGCGTAGGCAAAATAACTCTTCGCGAATATCTGTGTACATTTGCATGCCAAAAAAACAACTAGCTAGTGACGTCATACTGTTTGTTGACGTCTAGAAAATATGGCGACCGCCTTAAGATTTATAAACAATAATTATATATTTGTATTAAGTTCAGTATAAAAGAGGGACGAAAGATACCAGAGGGACAGTCAAACTCATAGATCGAACATATAATAATACAGTTATGTCCTTCACGAAAAGTGAATATCCAAAATTATTAAATCTCAAAAAGATTATTCCCCTCGGTCCTACGCACCTCGAAGAAAATAACCTTTCCTCAATTTAATATTTTTGGATATTAAATTTTTATGGAGGCCATAATTGTATAATGTTCAGACAAGAGAAAAACAATATGATGTCAATAGAAGGAATGCAAAAATAACATATGATTTGAAATAAAACATTAGAAAAGACCTTTTGTTAAAAAAAAATGTTAATGGAGTCACACATTTTGGTTTCTTGCTACATCAAGACATTGATAAATGGATAGGAATATTGTAACATTAAGTTAGCTGATCTGTGTCCCGTAATTATTTTTTAATGAAAAAAACTAACGATTTTGGAAAATATTATACAAACGGTGTTTTTTTTTAATTAAACAATCACATGCAAGTTTTTATGCATTACAAATTACAATGGTTAGTTTTGACTGTGTCTCCTTCCTTTTCCTAGATGAAAGTTGTTACAGTTTCACTAAGATCAGAATTATCTTTGTGACAATCTAATAAAAAACAAGTTCCAATGAAACACTTACCTTCAGAATGTAGAAATATCACCAAGCAAAGTAACGCAACAACAAACTGAATCTTCATTTCACTCCAAGTAACTGATCAAATATTTGAACGTTGTTTTCTGCAAAATTGAACGTGTTATAACATTTGTTTAAATTTTGGTTTATATACTTTATTGTTCATTATGTGGCAAAATAACAAAATTCTATATCATTTGTATCCAATCAAATGATGACAAATTTTAAAATCAGTCCATTTCTTGCACTAATGAAAAGTTATCATGACTGTCGTGATGTTGTAAGTTTTTTAAACAGGAAGAGTATAGTAGAAAGCTTCATGCTGTGAATTATATTGTAATAAAATACAGGATTTTGTTAACGTTATTCATGAGTAGACATTGATAATATTATAATAAAGTACAGGACTTTGTTATTAAGAAGTCGACATTCAACTAGGAAAAAAAAGGCTTTCTTTTTTTAACACAATACATTATTTATCTGTTTAATATTGTTGGTTTATTCTATTCGGAAAACATAACGTTTATTGTTGATAATTATTTTCAATGTCTTAGAAGTTTATTAATAATTTGATTGACATTATAGAAATTTTTATTGCAAATTCGATTTTTGAATTGTGTATTAATGATAAATAATTTTACGTTTGATCGCTATAAGCAGAGAAGCATGACCCCTTTTTTTTTATTTAAATACAAAATGCTTTTTGAGGTTACTTATTTTCGGATAACGCTAAGATATGACGAAGGAGGGGGTTAAGCGATAAGCATATATAAATTATAGGTGATGTGTAATTAAAGGTAATCCTTTTTTCGATCCATTACACAGATTTCAGAATGACTGTACAAAACAATAAAAAAACAAGTATGATATACAACAGCAAACGAGAACCACTCAGTAACATGACTTGTGACATGTCCATGCATAATGCAGTGGGATTAAACATGTTAGTGGGTGCCTTCTTTTCTCCCTTAATCTGGGACACTGGTGTTACAGCACAACACAAGAATTAACAGACAGTACAAAACAAAAACCGAAAGACAAATATGATAAAGAGTAACATCAATCACTGACTCTTTACTTGGAACAGGCACTGATATATGTACATTGTCGAAAAATGTAAATGAAGGCAACAGTAGTATACCGCTGTTCGAAATTTAATTTGTATGAAATTTAAAAACGGGAGGAAAAACGAGTCTCAGCGACATTTTTTCCGGTTACGTAGCGAGAACCAATACTTTTTTTTTTATAATTTCCGACAATGTACATATCCTGTTTTTATCCTGCAATTTAACCATCAAACTAATAAACTTGTGTTATTTTAATTCCAAATCGTTTTCTTTGATATATATTTTTGCACTAAATATATAGAGAGCAACATGGCTTATACGCGAAGAGAACAAAAAATTACCTGAGACGTGAAAATAAATTTTTAACATAACCAGTTGCTCGACATTGAAGCAGAATAACAGGAGATGTTATGCTTAAACTATCGAAAAAAATACATACTAGACATTATTAAGAAAAAAATACAGGTGAAGTTCTACCTTTTTGCTCAAAAGTATAAAATAATGAGATGGGGTAGAATTGCTATTGAGACAACTATCCAACAGATAATTTGGTGTTAATTTGCTACAACCATTGGACCTACCCCCTCCCCTCGCACCTCCTTATCTAATTAACTTAGAAGTTAATTAATAATTTGATTGACATTATAGAAATTTGTATTATAAATTTGATTTTTGAATTGTGTATCAATGATAAATAATTTTACGTTTGAACGCTATAAGCAGAGAAGCATGACCCTTTATTTTAATTTAAATACAAAATGCTTTTTGAGGTTACTTATTTTTCGGATAACGCTAAGATATGACGGAGGGGTTTAGGCGATAAGCATATACAAATTATAGGTGATGTGTAATTAAAGGTAATCCTTTTTTCGGTCCATTACACAGATTTCAGAATGACTGTACACAACTATTTAGTATAGTAAATATATGAAAAAGACATGATCTAACTAAATGTACAGTATCTATGAGATTTTCTTTGAGCTTGCTTTTAGAAATTGAAAAAAAAAACTTTTATGTCAAAGTCTTGTTCCTATTTGGTTTTCTCTGCATACTAATATACAATATATATAAATATAAAAAGATGTGGCATGATTTCCAATTAGAGAATTTTTCATAATGGATACAATGACGTAGAAGTTGGCAACTATGGGTCACGGTTAGACCGTCAACAATAAACAAAACCAATAACGTACAACAAGCTATAAAAGGCTCCAACATGACAAATGCAAAACAATTCAAACGAGAAAACTAACGGCCTGAAGTTTGTACAAAACAATAAAAAAAGTATGATATACAACAGCAAACGAGAACCACTGAATAACATGACTTAGGACATACCCGTGCATAATGCGGTGGGGTTAAACATGTTAGTGTGTGCCTCCTTTTCTCCCTTAATCTGGGACACTGGTGTTACAGCACAACACAAGAATTAACAAACTATACAAAACAAAAACCGAAAGACAAATATGATAAAGAGTAACATCAATCACTGACTCTTTACTTGGAACAGGCACTGATACATGTACATTGTCGAAAAATGTAAAATTTAATTTGTATGAAATTTAAAAACGGGAGGAAAAACGAGTCTCGCCGAGATTTTTTTCCGGTTTCGCAGCGAGTACCAATATTTTTTTTTTTTATAATTTCCGACAATGTACATATCCTGTTTTATCCTGCAATTTAACCATCAAACTAATAAACTTGTGTTATTTTAATTCCCAATCGTTTTCTTTGATATATATTGTTGCACTATATATATATAAAGCAACATGGCTTATACGCGAAGAGAACAAAAAATTACCTGAGACGTGAAAATAAATTTTTAACATAACCAGTTGCTCGACATTGAAGCAGAATAACAGGAGATGTTATGCTTAAACTATCGAAAAAAATACATACTAGACATTATTAAAGAAAAAAATACAGGTGAAGTTCTACCTTTTTGCTCAAAAGTATAAAATAATGAGATGTGGTAGAATTGCTATTGAGACAACTATCCAACAGATAATTTGGTGTTATTTTTGCTACAACTATTGGACCTACCCCATCTTCCACAACCTCCCAATTAATTTCACAAATGTCACGTATACAATTTAGAATAATAACATTTTTAAATACGACTTCTAACTGCCTTTTTTATAACAATATTTTTATTTTTTTAAACGGTATTTTTTTAAATCACACCCTATGTCCTAATTGATGTTACCAATGTCTTCTTTAAATGAGGGTTACTATTTTAGCTCTGTAAATATGTGTATTTATAAATTTTTGGAATTCAATTAGGTGTTATTATTTGATTACTATATTGTCTTTAATAATAAGATGTATAAGCAGCAGGGATCTATGATTATTGAACACGGATCATATCCTACATCCCACTGATGAAATATAAAATAAATCAACATGAAAGTAGTCGTTTCCTTAAAATAAACCTGGAGAATCTAAACTTCTGCTTGTACACAGTTTCCACATATCAAACCAAACAAGACAATTGGTTTCTCGTTTGAGGTGTTTCACATTTGTCGTGACGGGCCTTTTTATAGCTCTCTATTGGGTATAAATTTTGCAATTTTATTAATGGCGTAGGGTAACATAAATTGAGTAGTAACATCCACGTCCTTTTGGTGGGCAGTTGTCTCTATGGCAATCATACCATTTCTGCTGATATTTTATAGTAAAAGATATGTTGAAATCGTGTAATTGGCTAAAAGTAGGGCAAAATGTGTATCTATTGATATTCGTTTATCGTCCTTTGCAATGTAAATTTACTATACCTACTTGGGACGAGACAAGTTTATTCAGCAGAAGGAATATATAATTTTGATGGAGTACTGAATGAAATCAAAAAATTTATCAGACATCAGGAAGCTTATTAACAAAGCATCCGTTAATTAAACTACGTCTGCTCAGTTTTTGACTTAAAACTTCCAAGTCGAGATACACTGACAACACCATGGAAAAACAGAAAGACGACGAATAAAACTGATAACACGATGTAGAAAACTAAAGATTCTGACAAGGACTGATACATTGAATTTATCTGTAAGTGCCAGGTTCTGACATGGTTCAATACATTGAAATTATCTATTAGTATCAGATTCTGTATGTGCCTGTCCCAAGTCAGGAACCTGTAATTATAATTCAGTGGTTGTTGTTTGTTGCTGTATATCGTATTTGTTAATCGTTCAATGTTTTGTACATGAATCAGGCCGATAGTTTTCTCGTTTGAATTGTTTTACATTTGTCATTTCGGGGCCTTTTATAGTTGACTATGCGGTATGGGTTTTGTTCACTCCTGAAAGCCGTACGGTGACCTATAGTTGTACACTTCTGTCATTTGGTCTCTGGTGGAGAGTTGTGCCATTGGCAATCATACCAAATGATCTTATTTTCATATTATACATTGAATGTATCTATAAGTCCCAGGTTCTAACAAGGACTAATACATTGAATTTATCTATAAGTCCTAGGTCCGACCAGGACTAATAAATTGAATGTATCTATTAGTCTAAGGTTCTGACAAGGACTTATACATTGAATTTATATATTAGTCCGCAGGTTCTGTCAAGAACTAATACATTGAATTTATAAAATAGTTCCAGGTTCTGACAAGGACTATTACATTGAATGTATCTATTCGTTTAGGTTCTGACCAGGACTGATACATTGAATTTAGCTATTAGTCCTAGGTTCTGACAAAGACTGATGCTTTAAATTTATCTATTAGTCCTAGGTTCTGACCAGGACTAATACATTGAATTTGTCTATAAGTCCCAGGTTTGGACAAGGACTAATACATTGAATTTATCTATTAGTCCTAGGTTCTGACAATGACTTATGCATTGAATTTATCTATTAGTCAGAGGTTCTGACTTGGTTCTGTAAAGGACTTATACATTAAATGTATCTATTAGTCTAGGTTCGACAAGGAATGATGCATTGAATTTATCTATTAGTCCTAGGTTCTGACAAGGACTTATACATTGAATTTATCTTTTAGTCCCAGGTTCTGACAAGGACTAATATATTGAATTTAT